AATGGGATAAAGCTGGCTTTGGAAACAATTCCGTAGCCTACTTTCTCTCCGCGCGTTTTGCACGACCTTCCTGCGATTGGAGCTGTGTCTCGTTTGTTGTTATTGTTAAGTTTTGTTGCCATTATTATTGTTTGAGTGGTCTACAATTAATCGGAGTTAGATAATTGAATGTTAAGTCTTCAAGTTAGGAAATGAAATCTGCTCCCTACAATCATTTAGCATGGATCATAGCTAAAACACACGTATGTTATCTAATCTACGGATTCGAACTTAATAGTTATGCGCGTACAAATAATAATAATAGAGTGTGCAGCGAAATCGCGAATCTGGGACAAGGTGTAATGTGTGTATATTATTATTGTGGATTTTGTAACAAAATGGTGACCGAGTGGGTGGCGAATTCGAGCGAGAGTGAAGCGAGATTTCTCGTTTCTAATTACTGACACGTACACACACAAATACATACACATAAACATACTTAAACGCCATTTATCAAATGGCATAAAGCAGGCCGCGCTGGAACAAACCCAGCAAGAAGAATGTTCCGCGCTGGAAAAGGTCGGATCTTTGTTGTTATATCAGATACGATCGTGATATGCTCATTAATTCGAAGGGAATCGAACATATCGACTAAATCGTGACTAGAGGGGTTGCAACCAATTTAGAATCGCTATTTGCAGTTACAAACATTTAATGATTGAAACAAAATATACCAACTTTTTTTTATATTGATAATGTGCAAACAGTTGATAGAGCATTGGTTTCTTATAGTCGGACGAGTGTTGTCAAATTGTCAATCAATTATTATTCCTAAAAGGAATGGAATACTTAGAATATGATAAAAAAAACACATCACAAATATGGCTTGGTGAAACTTGAATTCAAAACACGTATCATTAATTGAATAAATAAACGTATCGTTAACGAAATGCATATCATCGGAGACCTCACGCAAATTGATCTAGTTAAGACTTAGAATGAAGTGGTCTTCAGGAGTGTATCCGATATCAATTAAGTTGTGCGATGGTGGCAGTAGCGGGACCGCACATAGAGTCTCTTTTACGCCTCTAAACTAGGAAGTGCAGAAGACAGAGAACAACAAAGATGCGCGACCGCGAACCGGTAAAAAGGTCGAGGTCAGGATAATGTACCTTATCACCATATACCGAGCCCTCATGAGAAAATCCGCGCGCGCTATTCCAAAGAGCAGAGCAATGGATTTGAATAATGGTTGCGGCAGCATCCATCCATCTATACAACCACATCCCATTTTAGCGGCTGAAAGTGCAGTAGGTCAAGAAACTAAATGGGAGATTTTCAATCGGATTTAGTGAGAGGTCAGCGCTAGCTAGCTGTGCTGAGATATCGGAGACGCGAAGGAGAAAACGCAACACGTCCCATGTTGACCTAAACGAATCCGAAATCATGCAGACTAAGTGTCATTTACTCTAATACGTTTCTTTCTTTATTCATCTTTCGCGTACCCAGTTTGGTGGAAAGGTCATCGTGGTACGGGTATAAATAGAACGTTTCGGTCACGCGATATGTGATAAACGATCTGATGTCATTAACAAATTAAACGCTCCCAAACAACTTGAATCGATAAATGAAACTTTTGCCATTTCACTGTGCCCCTACACCTTTAGCATGAGCACTGTACAGCATATCACTAGAAACTTCAAGTTAAGCCTTAATAGGAAGCGCATGGATAACCTCGGGAAGTTAGTTAATGCTTGAAGACCACTTGGATGGAGCGAATTGGAAATGCACATAGTGGAGAGGCGTGACGCAAATATTGGCTAAATAGTAATTGATGCGATTGACCTTAGCCAATCGTCATGTGATGCAACCGCTGATTCGGCAAATACAACTCGGGCGTTGATTTTTATATTCGCATGGGCAAACGCAACAAGTGGCGGTAGTCTTCATTAGCGGTAGAAAACGCGTTGAAAATGAATGATTAGTGTAAATCTAACAAAAACAAAAATACGTCAACTAAAGCCGCAAAATAGGGACACACTCACACACGGACGCGCGCGCATAGGTAGAGACACGCAAACCGACCTAGATAACTTGATATATGTGGATAAAAACTGGGCAAACTCGAATCCAGTTCGCCTTAATAAACTTCCAAATTATGCATACGTTAAAAGAAACGAAACCAAACGCAACTTCCGATACCGATGAAGGAAAAGGAGCTGCGTAGAAGAAGGAGGGTATTTATCTAGTTCTGCCGATGCCGTATCCTCCCATACTCGTTTTAATTCGCATCCTCTTTTTTCTCTCCAATCCGCTTCATTTACTTTTATTTCGAACGGTTTTGTGGGTCACGGAGGCTCGGGCTTCTGTGAAGAGAAGAGGAGAATGAATTGGCCGCGATATGTGTGGAATAACAACAATTACAAGGATAAACAGGGCCGAGTGCAGTGGATGAAGAGAGAAAGACGTGGCTCATAATGAGACGGAGTGAGAACGTGAAAAGGAGTCTGGGCCATCGTCGGATAGCTTCTTCGTCATCTCTTTCAGCTTCATGAAACTGGCTGCTCTGCGAGCGAATAATCTCTGAAGCCGAAGAAGAAACGACGCCGAAAAGAGCCTGAGGACTTGACCGTCTGACCGCGACTAACTGTAAAAGCGGCGCGCGGCAAAACGCTCACACATTCATCCACATCCATCCATACATACACACACATCACCTAAATTAAATGGGAAAATAAAATAAAGACGGCATTCCGCCAAGCCGACACATCCCCCTAATTAATTCCTTCCAAGAAGCCTTCCGACCAACCTACACCTCCTCCTCCTCCTTAACTTCTTCCTCTTCAATTCAGCGGCGCACCGAAGAGGACAGACATAATGCCATGCATGCAACGACGGCAAAAAAATATAGCCGAGTTAAATAAACAGAAAAGACTATTTATTTTTAGAAGACCGGGACACATTTTAAATACACGCCACTTAATGGACTTCTGAAATTACCAGCCTTGTTACTGCTGGTAATTTAATAACGCAAAGACAACAACGGGACGAAAAAACGCACATGTTTTTGCACTTCTCGCGAACAACCTCTGCGATGAGCGAGCCATCATCGAAGGCGTCCATTCATGACAATCTACATGCATTCACATTCAAACTGCAAGCGCGCCTCTCTTCACTTCATTAACAACTTTCCATATATTTGAGCGCTATACACACTCAACGCAATCTTCTCTAGCATAGTGGAATAAATTAATCAAATAAGAAACTATACTTAAAGTGGCCATCATTTAAAATGTTCGCAATTCCATTGACAAACAATACCAAGTTTATGGAGATTTATCGTTGTTCAAGAAATGTGCAAAAGCTTATTTATTCTTGATTAAACGATAAGATATCACTTAGACTAGTAGTCTTCAAATTCGTCGTCAACTCCTTGAACCCTTTAGATTAAAGTTTTACTGTCCATAATTACTAAATAATCATTGAAAACATGAATATTATTTGCAATGTATGATTATGTAATAATACGGATTAACGTTTACATAATGATAATAACAGTCAAACCATGATAGATTGTGCAGTTTGAGACCATTAAAATAATCAAGAACTTTAGAAGCAAATCATGAAACTTCAACATCGATAATATTAGATTATTATTTATAAAATGCATTCTATTTCCAGGTAGCAGATTGAAGTCAGTATGAAACTTTTCCATTCAATGTAATTAAGTAATACGTTTTTTTTTATCGTAATCAAAACAAATCATAATCGCGGATGAATCATTTTTTAAACGGAACCGTAGATATACGGTATCAATTCGATAAGTTGGAAGATAATAGAAGTGGATATAGATCGGTCTGCCTGAGAATCGTAGAAGTATAAAGAACGTGATGATATTATGCACAAACTAAACACGATTAATTCCGAGAATTATAAACTAAGGTCGCGATCTACAATTGAAGTAAATATGCATAAAAGCAAGAAAAAAACAATACGAAAAGGAAACGAATCAACTGTTTATTAATATAAACACCATTTGACATTTTACACAGAGAGATGAAGAGATCATCATCAATCAATTTGAAAGAAGCGAAAAAATACTTTCAAATTTCTAAAAGAAAATAGTATTTAATAACACACATCGCTTGCATATATAATTCGAACAACAAAAAAGTATGCACGGTAGCATAAAATTAAAAGAACATTATGTAAAAAAAATATATGTAGAGAAATCTTTCGTCGACTCTATCAATCGAGTCCACAAAATAGGAATAATTTCAGTATGCGACATTTAGTTTATTAAAAACAGGTTCTTGTTTCTGGACTGCTCTTTCTTCTTGCTTCTCAAGCCAATTGGATGTATATATTTACTACAAAAACGGAATAGTAAAAATGTTCATTTCGCAGAAGTCGCAACAAGATTCTAATGGTTAACGTCAATATAACATTACATTGCGTGTCTTATACTAAATTACGTATACATTAAATAAATTATTACTATTTAGGAATCGGCGATTCTATGCTATTGGTTATCTATTATTATTTAAGCAACATCAGCTGATAAGAGTGTTGCTGAGTGTCTTTTTTTTCACGGTTTCGCATTCCCATGCTTTTCATAGTCCAATTATATGAGAATCAGTTGATCACAACGTAAATTACTTAATTGAACTGTTTCCTGTGGCAGTAAATACATGTCCGCGTCTGTGGATACAATTAAATAATGAGGAACGAATAGAGATTAGACGATCAACAGGCGATCGAGGAAGGAAATGCAAAGATGACTCGTTTTTTTTGTTTTCGTTCGCGTTATTAATAATTATGTTAAGAGTCGAGAAGTAAGCGGAATAAAGTCGAATGAATCCGCTGAGTCAATTTGCGAATACATAAGCAAACGGAATAATTTACTCGTTGTAATACCTAGGGGGATGATGTAATACGTAACTGGAATATATAATACCTAACTGGAATATGCAATACCTAAGGGGGATGAAATGTGCTATGGTTTTTTGGGATCAACCTACCTGGCGAAAACCGTGTGTTCCACATTGTAGAAGTCCCCGATGGGTCTGTTCGAAATGATCTCGTTCAATTGGGCTTCGGTGAGGGCCAGAAGGCCCAATCGTTGCGAATTCCTGTCCCCCAGCATCCTGTTCTGCAAACTGCTATTGTTCTTCGCACCGAATATATACTCTGCAAAAATACCTTTCTTGGAATCTGTCCGTTTCACACTTTTTGACACACTGCGAATTTTTCAACTGTTTTGTTTTCTAGGTCTTTCAGTTTGTTTGTTTGTTTATTTTTTTTGTTACAAATTTTTGCTGTCTTATTGCGGTTCGCTTCGATTTTAGAAAACAATTAGATCTTTAATCCATGATTGATCGCGGCTCGTCGTAATCGACGGCAGCAGCGGAGCACCCAAATCGTGAAGAAAACATGGGTCGAATTCACACACACAATGCACCGGCGGCGACCAACGGACGAACAAAAAAAAATCGAAAACGTAGTGAACGAAACTACCTCCGTCCCTCCTGAGCGCAGACCGCAAACCAATTGGAAGACTGGTCCAGAAAACGATCTTCTGCTTGATCGATGATGATGGTACCTTCTGATGTTCGATTCTTGGTCTCTCGGTGCCCCCCAGAAGAGCAATAATATGGACACACCTAACTCATACAATGCAATTCACTGAACTGACAATGCTGGATAGACCGGACCCTCAGAGATTGGAAGACGGTGAAGGGGATTCGTGCTGGCGCCATCTGACCGAAGACGATAGAACGTTGTGACGGGACGTTCCCCCACCGCGGGAACGGCGCGATCTCTCAGACAAGGTTTTTTTTTTAGGTTATGCCGAGGCGCGTTGGTATTCATTACAAAAAGTCGAAAGAATGGAATGGATCGGATACGAGAGTGTTTTAATCGTTTTCACGCCGGCCTTACTTTTATTCCTTATCAACTACATCTACCACAATATTAGGTAATTTCCATTTAAGATCATCTTATTAACAATGTTACTTAAACCACCTGACTTGCAGGAGAAAATTCAACTTCAAAGTAAACTGTTGGTTCTGCAATGAAAACACGAGAGTACCGTACGCGGAAATCAACGCCTTCATGTGCCCATCATGCACCCAATACAATGGATTCAATAAGGTTAATGACTTTTCACTTGTGGTATTCCGAAGTAAACAAATCTAATAATAATTTTAGGATGGCAGCTACAATAAGCAAATACTTGAGCAGCATGATGAGATGCTCAATGCACAATACCATTCAACTTCCATCAATGAAAGCTGTTCAAATCATACACCATCAAATGGCCTGTGCAAATTTTGCAATAACAACCAGCAGCTAAAGATTTATCAGCTAGCACATTTTGTGCCTATGGACGAGGAGAACTATGATATTGAGATTGAACACTTCCAGAAGCAACTGGAGAAAGCATACAAACTCTGCCCAAAGTGTGATAGGGTGCTCAAAAAGACTTTGGGACAGCAAAACAAATGGATGTTAGGATTGAAGCTGGCCTCCTTGAAGAAAAAAGTTGCTGTTATAAATGAAACCATAATTACTGTGCAAGCTGGAAACAGGCACTGGTTGCTTACTGGTTTCTTAAGACTCCTACTTTTATTTTATTTTGTTGCTGTAATGATGGTTACATCCAAATACTCTAAGCAACTGTCTGAATATTTACCAGAGGCTTTGAAACCATTGAATTATGATTGGATTATTAAATATGGAAGTTTCAATTACTTTAGGGATAATTACATGCCTGTATTGGCTATTACTGGAATTTTACTATCTCTGGTGAGTTTTTTTTTTAATTCTATTTGCAAAATCAATTTATTATTATCACAATTATTTTTCTTTGCAGACACTGTTTATGACCAACAGGAAGAGTAAAATTAACAAAAAAACGGAAGTGCCATTATCTCCAAAGAAATTGTGCAAAGTACTTGAGACTGAACAACAAGAGGCAATGGATTTCCCATTGAATTCGACGGATTTGAGCTCTGATCCAGAATCCGATTACGAGTCGTTCAACGCTTCCATACGAAAGCGACAGATGAAGAAGGCTAAGAAACGACATAATACGACGACGAACCAATTGAAGCCTCTTGTGAACAATTCGATGCTCTTCCAAACGATGCCGCAAACGACTTTCGAATCTTTGAATCGCTCCAAGTCGCCTTCCAATAATAGCACCTTTAATCTGCCAGAGTTGTTTGCCGAGGTGCGATCACCTGCAAGCGTATTTAGCGTAAAACCTCAGCAGACGACTTACGACCTAAATTTGAATTTAGGTAATTTGAAGTTGAGCCCGAAGAGACCGATACTGTCGCCGTCGAAGTTCAAGAATCCGTGGGCTTCCGGTGGTCCAACTTCCGTCGCCTCAGGTCAATCTTTCTGGGAGACGAAACCGGATCTAAGTGTTAGCAGATCTTCAAGTCAAAGCTCAGGATTCATTAGCAACTGCCCAGAGCCCGCACCCTTCTCCAGGTGCGACTCTATTTGCGGCGACTTCGGGTCGCTGTACTCTGAACCAGTTAACAATTTCAACGCGAAGAACATGTTCCTGTTCGCTCAGAGACGAGAATTTGGTAAATTTTAAGGGTGATTTTTTTTTTCTGTGAATTATACTATATTGTTACGTTTAATTTATATATAGATAGTACATACACACTTGATGATTTTTTTTAAATAGTGAAAATTGTTAGGAGCATCTATTATTATTATTATTATTTCTGTGTTCTAGGTGATTTAGCTTTTAAGTTTAAATATGTAATAACTGATCTGTAACACTGCCATGTATACAAATTCCAATTTTCGAATATTTACTATATATATATACAGAAAATATACTACCTCATTATGCAATGCAAAACAAAATGAATTTACACATACATACAATTTTTGAAACAGATGTTTTTATTGTTATTATTTTAATACATATTCAAATATAAATAAGTATTTTATTTCTCTTAAGTCTATCAAAAGTTTTAATGAACAAATGTAGGCAACCGATGAGACAAAAACGGGTGGATAATTGCATTTAGCAGCATGGAGATGATTAGCAACTCTTAAAATCAGACATACAACATTTGATGGAGTCCTTTACTAGTACAATATATGATTTTTTAAAATGAAACTTCTACAATAATTTATACAATGAAAGAAACAAATTATTTAATTTTCAGATAATTGTTTCTTTATATAGTCTTGCATCAAATAAAATGCATTGAATATATCACTTGGTACAATATCAAAGTTATTCAATGCATTGTGCACTGTTTCCAATGCTTGTATCACAGGTTGTTTCACATCTTCCATTTCCAGAGACTCATTCACTGTCATCTTAATGTTCCTTATCCAGGCATTGGGTTGTGTCTCATCTGGATCTTTATGCTTATCACTAACATCTCTTTGTGACTCCTGATCATCAGCAAAGCACAGAAAATTATCATTATTTACAATGATATCATTTGGTAGAACCCCAAGCAAATTTAAGCCAACTTCCTTGTTTACATTTATTTCTTGATTATTTTCATTCACGTATGAATCATCAACTATATGATTATCTTCAACAATATCATCACCTACTATATTTATAATTTCATGATCTAATAAAAATTTCATGTCCTTCTTAAGTAAGTTCCATGGAGGATTTTCCAAATCCAGACTGTATCGATTTTTGAACTTCTTGAACCAGAGGTCCTTTGACACAAAGTTCTTAAATGATAACATATTCGCAAATATGCTGGCCTTCTCTTTTAGAATTTCTTCACTGATTTGTCTATTGCAGCTGACTGACTGCTGATAGTACCTCAGCACAGCCATATCCAACTTCTTGGCAACACAATTCTTCATTTGCGATTTTTTATGCAAAGTTTCCTCATTGATGTTCTTGCAAGCTTTCAGAATTTCCGTTTTATGTCTGTAAATATTCGTAACTGTGGCGCACGATATTTTATATTTGCTTGCCAAATCTTTCTTTCTCTCACCATTATCCATTCGATGAATTAAATCTAGCCTTTGTTTCAAATTGATATGTGGCTTTCGTATCTTATGTTCCTTATCCATTTCAGATGTCTTCATGTTTAATAATCAAGAACTATTGTAACATTTTTTTTCTTCTTATTTTAAATGTTGTTTAGATAGTCTTCCTTATAAACCGCTACTTCTCTCTATAAATCCACACTTTGCCTGAGTTTGGAAGGAAGTTAAGATTGGCGTCCTAAAGTCCTAAACTGTCCTAAACTTGCTTCTTGCTTATACTTTGATTATCACAGGTTTTAAGGCTAACCCCCCTCCATGATGCAATTACAAGTAATAAAAATATGATTGCGGCGCCACTAAGCGCCATAACTCTGTACTTTTCTAGATTCACAATCTTTTTTGCAAATTCATATTAAAATTATCAAAACTTGATAATTGCAACTTCTAAAAAGTGGTTTAAGTATATATATATGTATAACCATGTATATCTTACTGATAATGATGGAACTGGATGGAATAATGAAAACAAACGTATGCAAGATTATATGGAATTTTCACACGTACGTTTGAATTGTTGCATACCCAATTTTTTTTCTGTACATAGGTTAAAACACGTTTTGCATCAAATTTTGAGAGTGTAAATAGAAATTGAACACGATTTAGTATTTCTTCAATTTTCGAGGTCGATGGTACTCTGAAATATGATCCCATTTTGTCCGCTCTGCGGTAATTTGATGTTTGTGCAAGAAAAAGGAGCCCGAATTCAGCTGGTCTGCAATATTTGCCCAATATTTCAAGTCATTACGAAAACTGTGACGAGCAAAACATACTATAAACTGAAGGTGAGTTACTTTAAATAAATAAAAAAATTGATGAACTTTGAGTGATAATTGTTTCTTTTTTTAGGAAATCGATGATGTGCTAGGAGGCGCTGAGGCCTGGAAGAACGTGGATTCTACTGAAGAAAGGTGTCCGAAATGCGCCTACCCCAGAGCTTTTTTCATGCAAATTCAGACAAGATCTGCTGATGAACCCATGACAACATTCTACAGGTGTTGTAATATTGAGTGCTCGCATAACTGGAGGGATTAAATGCAGCTTAAGCTGCTGAAGACAATGGGGGTAACCCTGATAAATAATCCAAGGGCTATTTGCAATGCAGTAAATAGCCTTAAACAAGGTGGAGTGATTGGTATACCTACAGATACAGTTTACGGTTTGGCATGTAATGCAACCAACCTACAAGCCATAGACAGTTTATACCAAATCAAGACTAGAGATTACCAGAAACCTTTAGCTATCTGTGTGGGAGAAGTTGATGACTTTATGAAGTGGGCAGAGGTGGGACATTTGCCTGCGGGATTATTGGAGCGATTGCTGCCAGGACCTGTAACTCTGATTTTGCATACAAAGAAGACAAGTGCTCTGGACAAATCCTTGGTATGTAAAGGCAAGGTGGGCATCCGAATTCCAAATTATAGCTTTATCAGGGATGTAGCCAATCATCTGCAAGCGCCCATAGCTTTGACCAGTGCCAACTTAAGTAGTCATCCAAGTTCTGTGAGTGTGGAGGAGTTTCAGGCATTATGGCATAAATTGGATGGTATCTATGATGGAGGTCATTTGGGTGAATCCCACAGGGGAGCATCAACAATCGTCGATTTATCTCAGAAAGGACTTTACGAGATCGTCAGAGAGGGAATGGCCTGTGAGAGTACAGTGGGAATATTAGCAGCGTTTGGTTTTACACGCAAATAACAATAATTTTCTAAATAAATTAATTTTATATGAAATGAATGCAGTTCTTTTCTTTCTGGTAGATGGCGCGTTTCGCGCGTTGCGCTTATTGATTTGCCTACGTTGCCGCATAACAATTTATCCGTCTGCTCGTGCAGATTCTTTTTGATCAGCCGAGTTTAAATTGAATTTTATAATTAGCGACTAATCTCGTTGATCGTGAATTGAAAGTGCCGGGCGGATCATCATCATCCATCGACGTGTGTTTATTCTTGCGGTTGCGCTTAGAACGCACGCGCTTTGCTGGTAATCCGAGCGAGCAAACCAAAGGAAACGTCGAGGTCGAGGAGAGACCAGAGCATAGACATCAGATACATACATGCCCAGAGACAAGTGCGATCAGCTGTTTGTCGGATTTGCCGTCAAAGCAAGGAAGAAAGAAAGAAACGGCGTCGGCGAAGGAGAAGAAACCGGATCCGGATGTAATTTCAATACGCGCTTTTAATTTTGAATCGCCGCTCCGGAAGATGCATGTACGTAATAAATAGCAACAAATTAATAATAATAATAAGATTGATAACAGAACGTGCGTGTAATTTAATTATTAAAGAATTGCTTGTAGTTTCCTCTTCTTATTCTTTTCGCTTTCCCCTATTCGGAGTGAGAGATCAAAAGACGCCTCGCTGTCGGTTGTCATGGCGACGACGTTGGTCGCGGCGGCGTCGCCGGGGGCGTCGCGAGACCGACGATAAATAAACATGGGAAAGTCGTATAGAATCGGAGAGAAAGTTGTCGGAATTTTCGGTTTTTTCTTCGTGCGTTTCAAACTTTTTAACTAATATTATTATTATACATATTTGTTTCTTTCACGTAATAAATCGAATTTTGATGAGTTCGTCTATGGTAGTTAATGGTCCGTATGCTCACTTCGTGGCCGGTTGTCGGGAAAAACACACGCGCGCTGCCTTTTAGTTTGCTTATGTTTCGCGATTGACCGGGTTTGAGAAATAGAAAAAAGAAAGAAGTTGAGCGCACTCCGTGTCTTCATGGAGGTAGACGAGGAGGAAGGTGCAGTGGCGAACTGCGTCTCGGTGGACGGGAAGGATGATGGTGATGAGGAGGACGAGGAAGATGAGGTGTTGGTGGTGGAGGAGGAAATTGCGGCGGAAGCTGGTAGTGACCTGGACCACCGAGGAGATGATGAGGAAGATGAGGACGGTTGCAGATTCTTGAAGTGCGTGCTTCGCGAAAGGAGCACGGAGGAAACGGGTTCCGTGGAACCGCCACCGGCCTACGAGAACGACGCAGCCGCCGGCCCCGCCGAAGGAATCTGGGCTGACCTCGACCAGGACCAAGACAAATGGATCGTACGATGGAACTTGCCACCTGCCGAAGGCGACTTCATAGCCCTCTCCTATACAGGTAATCAATATCAATCATAGATAACATTAACTTAGATATACAAAGAAACAAGTTTATTTGCAATCTATTACTAAAAGGACTTTAAGTAACTTTGTTGGCGGGATAATTGCCTTGCAGATAGGAAACTGAACAGAATTCATATATATATTTTACAAACAACTCCACAATATTACAATACATAAGACCATATTATAAATTTGATTTTCTAGTAGATCTTTTGTAAGTTACTTTTAGTACTTTAATTTTTGAACATGAAAACGGATATTTACATATTTCCTTTAATTTGTTATTCATCCTGCAGGATCAACTGTTTTTTTTCGGACGGTTTCCTGTTGGAATCGTTCCTATCTATAGAAGCGCGTAACCAAATCTTCTATTAATAAACCAGAAATGACTTGAAAATGTAAAGAGTTTTTAACTGAAAGATTTCAAAGAAGTTAATCACATGTATTACTATATATATTTATCATATCCAAAGTGAAGTTCTAACGAATTTGAATCAATATATTCATTTGCAATCAATAACGATATAAATTTATGTAAGTTGCTAATGAAATCCGTTGCATTTATATGATGTTATTTTCATATTTCTCGGTACAACATTTCCAGATTCCTTGAATTTGATAAATTGAAATTATCGGCACATTATTGATTTACAAATTTTATTTTCAATTTTTATATACTTTAGTCTTTCCATGTTAATCTTCAATCTAAGTACAGCAATATGAATAGTGCTGTTAATCCGTTTGAAACAGGACTAATCGAGGAATTAACAAAAAGAAAAATAAATCGCATAAAAAATCATCTACGTAATTATGTGTACTAATTTTTTACAATTTATTTGTATTTTGCTCAATTAAAAATTTAGTTTGTTTTGAAATTTTCAAATCGGACTATAGTGAATATGGACTGATCGATGTCGCACTATGCGAGGTATAGCTATACCTTACTTGGAGTTATCTATGTTCTAAGCTTAAACTATATGAAGTTATATATTATAATGTTTGTCATTGGAATGTTTAAAGTGTTAAACTACTTTATTGAACGTTGGATTAATGTTATTATATAAGTAAGTTATAGAATATCTAAAGAGTTAAACTACTTTATAAAACGTTGAATTAATGTTATTCAATGAGTAATGTGATTGATTGTTGAAGCTTGATCTCAACACTTTAAAGTTATCTACTTTGACAGAAGGTTCTGGGTGATTCTTTTTTTCATAATTTTATTGTGCTTCTATTCAGTAGAAACATTGACAAACATTTTCGGTCATGTTTATCATTGTTATGCAAGTACGAACTTTTATTTTAAACAAAAGTTAACATTTAAATCTACGCGCTAAATCTAAGGACTTTAAGCGCGTTGACTTTTACGTATTGCTGTCAAGTAGGTTAATAGCTAGAATATTAATATGTGATTACAGTCTAGTATTTTTAAATGTTTGAATCAACGGACCCCGACCGAATAGTTGAACAATGTAAAATGCGCATAGAGAAAGTATAAAGATTTAAGAAACATTTTAAATAAATGTTCAGTATTTTACGGATTGATTGATCAAAATATTTATACAAAATACTTAAATTTAAGTGTTAAGTCTATCTGCTTTGTAATCAACTAAATGAATATGTAGATCTTCACCTGTATTTTTATTAAGACACTTTGATTGAAATCTTTGAACGATTTGTATGTTAAATTTTCTGACTGCATCCCACAATTGGATGCAATCCCAGAATACTTCTGCGCTTGTTAGATTAACAGCATCCATTCTTCGTGTTTGCCGTGTTTTCATCGAAATCTATCTATCCGGATACGTCCATTAATGTCCGCGACGTTGTTTTTCTTCTTTTGTCTTGTACCTCGTCGTCCGTCCCGTCCCACCTGGCCGAGGGGCGAACAACATCGTCATGCTCATCGTACGAAAACAGGTTTAATCAATTATACCCGCCGATACTATGAGCATTACCGACCGCTTCACGCTGATTGATTGAAATTTATTCAGCAAGATATTTTTTATACATGTAAATATGATAACAATAATGCACGTAACGAGCGGAATGTTTCTCCATTTAAATGAAATAAATACGGCAATTAGCGCATCCGGTTTCAATAAGGTCGTATGCGTTTCGTATCAATTTATTATTTCCACTCATTCGGCAAATTGAAACGAAACGAAATGAACGAAAACAATTATTGAGTATTTCAAAGCAAAACAAAAAATCGGAATTCCATCAAAACAAATAATCAATTAACGGAATCTATTTGCGACCGATCAACGATGCAGTCGTTCTTTAATGAGTCATAAACGGAAAGTGAATTAAAAAAAAGGTGAATAAAATTGAGCGCTTCCGGTTTCGGCGCTTATTGTTCGATTGTTTCGACTTTGTTGTCATCGTCGCTTGGGGCCGGATGCAAACATATATTCATGCGATACTCATGCACAGAAAATATAAACATTTATTTTTTTTTGTAAACTTTTGCTCATGCGATCATCAACTAAATAAAAAAAAGTGGAAACGGTTATAAACAAATGTTTCCGAGGAATTACGATTTGTTGATCCACTCAGCGTGTACCAAATTTGCGGTGAATTTTCCTTTGAAGTATCGACTTCAAATTTACTATGTTTATCCATCAGTCATTTTGACTTTGCAAGACATTTTTAAATATTCCGAAAACGTCGAAACTTTTTCCCTTAAAAACAATTGTTCGATGATGCAAATTATGCTTGCTCAGCAGATCTTTAAAAGCATTTTTTTTGTAATACCTCGATTAGTACGGTAATAATTTGACTGTGCTTGCGCGAGGTTTTTATTTTTGCTATGAAACTTAAACAGACAGGATCTATTGTTTATTTGCATTTTGTCTGCGTGCATGTGAAATAAATACGCGATTCGTGGAAGCGAACAGAACAACTCCGGCGTTGCGTTGGATTATGTTTGATAAACAGATTTCATGGAGTCCGGATATCAAAGCCGCCGTAAATCAAACTGTTTTGGGAAATAGGAACGGGAAAACAGAAAATAAGAGACTGCAATGAAAGAGGAAAATCAAAGCACTGTTTTTTCTTGTTGTTGCGTAATTCGGTTGCGACGCGAACCGTTTTTTTTTGTTGTGTTCGAAAATGCGTGCGGATATTTCGCAAACTCGTTGCCCGGATGTGATCTACATTCGTGCGGTATTCAAGGTATTACGTCCGGCTCGATGGGCGCGTAAAGCCAAAGAGATTTGCGCTCTCGAGTCTTCATTGAACCGATCCAGAAACACTTGCTTATTGACCGTAATCCGAAAATACGATTCAAAGTTTATCTCAACTGATTTTTGAATTGCTTAACACGTTGATTGCCAACTACGAGATATCTCGTAGGTTGTTTACTTGCCCATGACGCCTACTACGAGTTATCTCGTCCCTTCGTTACTTGCCATATTCATAAGAATAAAACATCATGATTGGCTTAAATGAACAGAAAATACCATTAAGAAAAGTTTATTCAAAAAGAAAAAGTTTATACAAAGAAATACATGTTTATTTCCACATATACAGTGGAACCTATATATTAAACAAGAATTGCGCATTTTTAATTGAGAATTAGTTATGAAAATATACATTTTTCGTAACTACTATGGTATGCAACCAAATTTACATGATATGACTTTATCTACCTTTTGACGAAGTTTAATGAATAATTATCTCCGAATGTGGTTTCATTAATTACTTTTTTACTCTATGTTATAAAAATCCATTTAATTGAATAAATTAAACAATATTTTTATAAAAAAAAACATTTGTAATTGTATTTTTTTTTTAATCTGCATAATTTTCACTAAACATAAAATATTTTCAATGGAGATTTGATAGGAATTTCTTTAATTTCATCTTTATGAAACATCATCATCTTATGCATTAAATAAATTACTAACATCCTCTTCATCAAGACTTTTGAAATTTATTGATTGAGTCATCTCGATAATTTAAGTGCAATTTCTTGTATGTCATTTTCTTCTATTAATTACACTAACTTTGCGTTGCGATAATTTACATATCGGATATTAATAATACATTTGTAGAATATAATAAAATATGATATCTGCAACGAAAGGTGACAGGTTCAATTTGAACTACCGGAAACTAAAATACAATAGATCTGATAATTTGCTGATTATAATTCTAAAAATAAATGACACGTCATCGAATAACTTTATATTATTCATGCATTTCAATTGTCTTCTAGTTAATTAATTATAATCAAGTGTCATTAACGTTATTATTTTTTTTTTAGAAACATTTTCTTGAGAAAAAAAAGTATTGTTACGATTTCTCGTTTCTCTAGAAATTGTGTAATTTCGATTCAGAATGAAAAAAAGTCAATTAAAAGACATGATCTAATTAATTTGTAGAAAGTAAATTTAATGAAAATGCAACATTTTTTTAGGATAATTATTTTTAAATATTTTTTTTTAAATCAATTAAATTATTGTTGTCTATTACATAAAGTTGAAGAGATTTAAATTTTGGTATCAGCTTTGTCGATTTTGTATAACTAAATAAATATATACATCCCCCGACTTACAATTTGTAATTTCAAAAATTTCAAAATATACTTACCTTACCACACTTTATTATGGTTTTTACTTTTATATAGGTAAATTTAAAAAAACAGATTAAAATAAATAAAATACTTACTTACAAAAAGTTTTCAATATAGACATCACAATTATTTAATAAAAACGAGAAAAGAAACAAATGCAACGAAACAGATAGTACATCTTCCAAAAATATTATATTTTATTAAAGAAATTATCAATTTTTGTTTGGATAGTTAATTATTTTTTATCACTATATATTTCCTTGTAACAAGTTATAGCTTTTAGAATTTTGTTCGTAAGTCCGGGATTTCGTAAGTCGGAGGATACCTGTACATGAATACCTCGTTTAGTGCTGGTAATCGGACTGTTTGAAACTCGACTAATTGAGTACTTTACAATCGCATAAAAATAAATTGCA